CGTGATGTTTTTCTACATTCTAATAAATCGGTTTTATAAATTTCCATTAAATACAATTCTTTAAACTTTTTTGCAGATTTTTCTAAAAGCTAATAATTTGTTTTGCTCATCCTTTACTGAAGGAGAAATTGTTGATTTATTTTTAATTGCAGTACAAAATAATAAGGTAAAGTATTTTAAGAATTTCTACAACCACTTTGATGCACCTTTATCTACTCAGAGAGATGAGAAATGCAGCACTTTACGTTTAACACTGTGAAGTTTGACAAGCATTGAAACGAAAAAGGAAGTGTAAATTTTACTAATCAAAACATCTGTACTGTGCAGCCATTTACATTTTCCTATCAAGACATGAGAGAAATGTTAATTTTAGACGACTCTTTTCATGACCTATAATTACTGTCATTAAGAAAGCTCTGGAGACTTACAGGGAGCTTTGACTGAAATACAGTTTGACATGTTCTATAATTAATGCTGAATTAACGTGCTACATGAAGTGCTTAGGAAAAAAAGGGTTTCTTTTTCTCAAAGTGAAGTCAAAGAAATTGTATTACAGGAATGCCCGCCAGCACAGCAGTATTTCAACTTATATTATTGAGCCTATGAAAAGTTAACTTTTCAGGTACTTTAAATTATTGTAAAACTTTCCTTTGGTTTTCGTTAGAGTAGGACATGCATAACAAAGATCAATGTTTGTTTCTAAGATCTTTTTTTTCATATACTAGGTAAAAAGGTAACTAATGATTAAAAGTAGCTTTTGACATTCTGAGAACACTAATATTATATTAATAGAAAACTTCATTATAAAATGTATAATATATGCTTTTTAGTGTAGTCATGCTACTGTTTTCCCTTAAGGAGTATTATTGTAATTCTTGGTGAGAATATGAGTTCCATGAAGACCAGTAATTTTGTTTTTTTCTTTTTTCACTGTTAAATTCCTTGTAACTAGGAATTATTCAGGGTACATACTGGTTGCTCAGTAAGTATTTGATAAGTGAATTAAGAAAATAAGTGGTTTGATAATATTTCAATATTTCCGAAGATATTCTTTATAATACTCTGTTAGTCAAAAAAAGTTTTAATTCCATGGCAAGTAATGTGACATAAAATCTCCTTAGCGATGCACTTCTCATACATAGAACTTGTGTGTGTGGTATGGAAAGAGATCAGTGCTTTTGAAGAATAATATTCTATAAAAAATTTGCTCAAAGAGAAAAATCTTACTTTTTCTGTAGGAGCACCTTTAAGTTTTATGTTGGTTATAATACTTTTATATTAGTCATTTTTAAAAGAGTGAAACTGAAAAGTCTTTGAAGTCATTTCCAGAAGATATACTGAGCAGTTACAATTCTCATATGTGTCAATAAAAAAATAAATATCTTTGCAATCAAAGAAAATACTGAACATTATTTCCCTTATAATTTTAATTGTATTATTGTTAAAATTTTTGTTTAATGTTAATTATTATTAATTAGAAAACAGATATTCTGAGGAAGACTTAGAAATAATGTGTCTTCTACCATATTCCATTTCTATCTTTAAGACCCAGGGTAAGCCTCAGGGAGCAGCTAGTAAGCAAAACACTAAAATACTTGTAGGTCAGTTTTCTAATATTTAATATTTATGGTTTGGAAATTTAGACATCTCAGATAATTTAGTTCAGAATTTTCCAGACTATCTCAGCACCTGAACTGATAGCTCCTTATAGCAGAAGCAACATCTTGAAGTTCTATTTATTTGCTTAAGAACATTTCTGTGAATTAAAAAAGAAAACAAAAACAAAAACTATAAGTCATATAAATGCCCATAGGCTCAGTGAAAGCAAGAGAGGCTGATGGATCTTAACCTAAAATGCCTATGATGGACTGGTTCAGGTAATTCTTCCTTAATTTTGAGAAATTCCTATTATTGTTTCTGTGTACAAACATATTTTGATTAACATTGTTTTAGGAAAACTGACATAATAAATATGTATACTTATATTGGTTAGAGCATTATTATTCTCAATTTGGAAAGTAGGCATCATATGAATTCCTAAAATATCTGTAATCAATTTAATTAATCTATGAACATCCAAGGAAATTTGTGAGTATGCAAAATTTAGAATAAAATTAAAGTATAAGCAATCAAAACCAAGGATCTTGTCATAGTGCTTTTAGATCTCGATTTTGCTTATCACTAACTGCCAAAGTGATTTAACTCTTTGAGGAAAAATTCCTATTGGAACTTAAATTGTTATTGGAGCTAAACAATATTTTAGAAGAAGATTTTTCAGGAAGTGGGATAATAATATGGATTTTTCAGCTATGTTAGACGTGTCTTAATTTTATTCTACCTCGATCTTTTGTGAGAAATTGAGCTTAATTTTTTTTTTTTTGGTTCATCTATGTTTGAGAGGAGAAAAAAAAAATTCCAATACAAATAACCACAATGAAATGAAGTTAAACATAGTATGGCTTTGTTTTTTCTAGACATTTTGGTTACCCATTTTGGGGGAAATTGCAAAATCAAAAAGTTAAAATTGAATGCTTTCTTCTCCTGAGCCTCTTTGATTTTTATTTTACAAGCATCTCCCATTTCACTGTGAGTCTCTTCGAGGAGAAGACCATGTATTACTCCTTTCAGCATCCTAATGAAGTAAAGGCTTTGGTGTAGCCATGCTCCAAGTTTTCAGTGAATGCTCATGACACAGAGACTAAGCCTTATGGAAAGTAAAGGTTCCTCATAAGGGAAGTGAGGATACAGATGGGTTTTGGAAGCACTCTGACACCATAAGAGATCTTCTCTGAAGTCAGTAAAGAGTATATATTGGAAGACAGTGGTAGAAAGAATAGAAATGCATTACGTATTTTCTTTTTTTATTTACTTATTATTATTATTATACTGTAAGTTCTAGGGTACATGTGCATAACGTGCAGGTTTGTTACATATGTATACTTGTGCCATGTTGCTGTGCTGCACCCATCAACTCATCAGCACCCATCAACTCGTCATTTACATCAGGTATAACTCCCAGTGCAATCCCTCCCCCCTCCCCCCTCCCCATGATAGGCCCCGGTGTGTGATGTTCCCCTTCCCGAGTCCAAGTGATCTCATTGTTCAGTTCCCACCTATGAGTGAGAACATGCGGTGTTTGGTTAAAAGGTGAGAGATATGTGAATATGAATGTGTGTGACAGAAGCACATTTTGGATAAATGATATATGAAATACATGGCTTATGAGCTATGATCAAAATACAATGTTCTTTGAATTTGTTACTCGGTCTTCAGCAAAAGATAATCATAAAAGGATCTTAAGTTCTAAAATAAAGCCCCAATTCAGAAATTAGAATTTGTTAAGTCCAAGATATCAATCAATGTATTTATCCTTAACATAAAGCTTTTTCTCCCTCTAAGCCATGATAAGTTCTGTAAATGGAAGTGTGTTCCTGGAAGAAGATAGGGTATTCCTGTCCATGCTCCCCATTTACTTCTTTTGTTTTTTTGTAGCAGGGTTGAAGTGGCAGAAGGCAGGAGAGGTTGAGGGATAGAACAGATGGTTTTATTTTCTGGGTGATTTCATACTCCCTGAGACTAAGACTTGGTTAATGTGACCTGTCCCTTTATGAGGGCATTTGTGGGAAATTCAGAGCCCATCTCTAAGGAACACGCTCTGCAACACTCTTGCCTGTAACTCAGTTTCACTCTTGGTTTACTTTGCAATTCTCTTCATAGCCTAGGCTTTCTTCCAAGGAAGAACATAAGTGTAGAGTACGGGCCATTAATGCCACCGCCTCTATCTTACTGCTTTCTCTGGGGTGAGTCGGGCACCAGTCCACTTTTCCTGGATCCACTTAGTTTTAGAGAGCACTTACCAGGTATTTTCCACAAGCCTGAAGACACCCCCTCACAGGGTGCGATAATTAATTTTGTGTGCCAACTTGACTGGGCTCAGGAATTCCCAGGTGGCTGGTAAAACATTATTTCTAGGTATGTCTTGAGCATTTTTCCAGAATCAATTAGCATTTGAATCAATAGATCAATAGGCTTTGGAAAGAAGATTTTCCCTCATCATTGTGAGTGGACATCATCTAACACAATGAAGGCTGAATAGAAAAAAAAAAAGGCAGAAAAAAAGTGAATTAAGTCTTTCTCTTTGTTAGCCTGGATAGTCATCTTCTCCTGCCCTAACACATAGGTGTTCCTAAATCTTGAGCCTTCGAACTCAGATTGAATTACACCACCAGCCTTTCTGGTTTTCCAGCTTGCAGGTTGCAGATCATGATGCTTCTTGGCCTCCACAATTGCATAAGCCAATTCTCTTACTAAATTTCTTAATAAAATTATTCTTTTATATATATATATAATCATACATATATGTATGTATATTATATATGTGTGTGTGTATATATACACGTATATATACACACTATATATATGTAATAGTTAGGGTTCATATATATGTGTGTGGGTTCACAGATATATATTCATACAAATATATACATATATTGGTTCAGTTTCAGTTTAATACACACATACACACACACATACTACATGTGTATATATGAAATATATGTATTAGGGTTCTAATATATATATCCTATTTTTTCAGTTTTAAATTGATGTATATATACACACACACATTATGTATATTAGAAATATATATGAGTTAGGGTTTATATTTTATATCTATATCTGTTTACCTATCTGTCTATCTATCTATCTATCTATCTATCTATCTATCTATCTATCTATCTATCTATCCTATTGATTCAGTTTCTGAGGAAAACCCTAACTAATAAACAAGGCATTAAGGTAAAAGATATAGTACCCTTGACTGCTTCCAATTGTTGAGAGGAGAATAGCAGCATTCTTCATTTCTCTCTAAAAGTGTTCCTTCATATTTCTCACTCTCAACAATAACTTTTTCTTATTTCCCTGATCTGGCCAATAGTCCCATTTACTAAGTGGGCAATTATGCAAAGCCTAAATTGACTACGTATTTTTTCTCTTCACAGAATTGCCTATTTTACCGTCTGTTACAGCTTCATTGTAGGAGGTGTGAAAGAGGAGGGAAATTGTGTTGGTAAGTACTTTGAAGCCAGAATGAAATATTTGGCCAAGTTTCTAAGGATTGAAAGTATTTCAAAGGAAATCTTACTTCCATGTCCAAAAAATAAAATAAGAAGAATGTTACTCACTGAAGTACAGTCAGTAAGCTCAGAAGCCAGAACGTTTTCCCTCCTCTAACTCCCTGTCTTAGAGTGCCCCGACAGAAAGCACTGGATATGAAAAACTCATTTTCAAAAACTTCTCCTAAAGGTCATGTGATGAAGAACCAGAAGACTTAAAACATGAAAAAAACAAAAAATAAGATCTGTGTTGGAGAGACAATGAAGGCTATGAGATCAATTATGAAATAAGAGAGTGGTGGCAGAAAAGGTAGAGGAAGGGAAGAATTTAAGCACAATTTAAGAAAAAAAAAATGTGTAGATAGTGTGTGAGCAAAAAGGAAAAAACTAAGCAAGTGAACCTTATTGTAATAAGATATTTAACCCAAAGTATCAAAAGCTGGTTATTTTAAAACATAACCAACATAAAAATTATAAATGAGACATTGAAATCTTTTAGACTAAATCTTTAAAATCTGGTGTATATTTTATACTTATAGCACATCTCAATTTGGACTAGCCAAATTTAAGTGCTCAGTGGCCAGGGCAATTCTGCACAGGAGTTGGCCAAACTTGGTTCACAGGTTCACTGGCCAAGTCCAGCCCAATACCTGTTTTGGTATGGCTTGGAAGCTAAGAAGAATTTTTACGTTTTTAAGTGGTTGAAACAATCATAATAGGAATAGTGTTTATCGACACCTGGTAATTACATGAAATTTAATTTTTTGTATCTGTAAATAAAGATTTCTTGGGGCATAGCCATGATCATTTATTTACATATTTTCTGTGCCAAATTTCTTGCTAAAAACAAGAGAGCTAATTAGTTTTGGGAAACTCTATGACCCAGAAAAGTATTTACTCTCTGGCTCCATACAAAAAAAGTTTCTGACCTCTCCTCTGTAGGGCTAGCTCTCCAAGGACCTTGACCGCATTTTTGCCATCCTTGTTAGCCTTCAGAACATGGCCGACACCAATGGAACTCAATAATTTCAGAACATAATATATTTTATAAATTCAATTGAACAAGCATTTTTTGAAAACAAAAATGCAATCCTAAAATACACACTCTTTATCTAGATATCTTATCTTAAGATTCTCCTAGTCATAGACACTATGTCACCAGAACAGAAAGGTGATAAAATATATAAATATTTAAGACCATAGGATTCTCAATTCAGATAGACCTGGGTCCATGTTCCAGCTTTGTCCCATCTTTAAAACTGGATAATTCTAAGCCCCTCTAACCGTTACTCCATTTTAAAGTATGTAAAATGGAGCAAAATACTGCTTATTTCACAAAGATTTTGCATCAATTAAATAATGTATGTAATTTAGTATAGTGACTGAAGTCAGCCAATATTTTAATGTTAGATATTTCTACTACATATATACAAAGTTTTTAACTTAATTTATTCCTTTCAGCTGTTTTAGTCACTTCTTTTGAAGGATGTGATACATTAATTAATATGCTTTATAAAGCTGTCTTTTGAGTATTTGTTCATTTTGACAAATCTTAGCACAGCTATATAAGTTAGTTGAAAATATTTTGGACACCAAAACACATTACTAGAACATTATAATTGCATGAGGCTTATAAGTAAATGCACATACATACACTATTTACATGGAAATGAAGAAAATATTCAAAGAAAAAAAGGTATTCATGTATAAGGGACATATTTATGTCTAAGAAATATCACTTAGAAAGCTGTAAGTATTTTGAGAATTATAAGCACACATGTTTAAGTAATATACTATACAACTTTACCCTATGCCCATAAAATATTTTTTAACCACAACTTTAATATTAATAATTTAAATAATTTAAAATTAATAATTTAATAAGTAAATATTTTAAATGAATAATGTTAAATTAAGGATGTTTAAATGTTATATTACATTATTATATTTAATATTATGATAATACTCAAATCACAATGCTCCATTTATTTCTCTTGTTGAAATGTTAACATTACGGAAAATAATTCTTTGGACAGTCATGTTTAATTTAGGTTTTATGACTCCTCAGAGTGAAGAGAGGAAGAGTGTTGTAATTTTCGGGACATGGAGAATCATTTGCTATGGTAAACTGGATAAATGCTCGTGCTACCTCATGGGAGTAGATAGAAAAGAGTAGCTGGATCTATTCTGCTGAGATGCCAAGGTCTCCATATTCTTTCAAAATCAATGGCCTTAGAGGGATCATGAATTGCTGAGGTAGAACAATCCTTGCTCCTCTTTATCTCTCATCTACTGCCTTTGAAATCAACTGGAGCTGCGTACTTGGAAGCAGCACAAAGGGTTAGGCTGGAAATAAAAATATGGCCTAGGATTTGTGATGCTCAAGTGATTCAGACTCATTTCTCCAATAGCTGTGGTTTTGAAATATGCTAGACTTATTGCTGATATATTACAGTTCATAGTGTTCTAATTCATTTTGCAGAAGTAATCCTGCCCAGCTTGACCATTACTCTTTAAAGTAGAGCTTACACTTTGGTTCCATTTGAAATAACTCATTGTTAAGTTCATAATACCTGATTTTATCAAATTATGCAGATACAAAAGGTGTCCATGCCTATTTTGTGGACAAAAACAAAGTAAGTAAAAACTCCCATGATAAGTAATGCTTATGTGTGATATAAAATGTACCTCCAATCTGCCGAAGCTTTCTCTTCCTTCACTGATGTGGTTTTCGTAATTCCACATATTTCTTTCCTGACTAATTAAAAATGAGGATAATAAAGTCCCTTAGCTTCTTTACTTAGCATATAACAAAGTACACTTATTCTTTGGTATGTATAAAATCGATATTTAAAAAATCATATTCTTAGTCTCTATTCAATTTTGTGGATTCACTGCACATGTTAGACTTTTATCTCTTAGAGCAGGGTCTGTATTTACTTAATCTGTTTCATATTACTATATATTAATTTTGTCTTACATTCATAGGCTGTTTATCATCAGTTATGAGAATTTTGTTTCTACCTTTTCAGAAAAACCCATAATATGTGTTATATACTGTGGGAAAAATATGTAATAAATCTAAAAATAATTACCACTTTGTAGTATTTCACAGTGAAATGTTATTTGATTATTACTGAAATTATGCTGATATTAATATTTTTCTTAATGTATAACAATGTTTCCACCTTTGTTAGCTTCATTTTGTGCATCAAAAGCAAGGTTAAAGGGTCCTGTGTGGTGGATCATGCCTGAAATCCCAGCATTTTGGGAGGTCGAGGTGGGTAGATCATTTGAGCCCAGAAGTTTGAGACCAGCCTGGCCAACCTGGCAAAACCCTCTCTCTACTAAAAATTCAAAAATTAGCCAGGCCTGTGGGCCTTCTCCTGTAATCCTAACTATTTATGTGGCTGAGGCTGGAGAATCGCTTGAACCCGGGATGGGGAGGTTGCAGCGAGCCAAGATCGCACCACTACATCTCAGCCTGGATGACAGAGCAAGACTCCCTCTCAGAAAAATAAAAAATAAAAAAAGAAGGTTTAAAATGTTTAAACATTATCATTATGAAATGCTCACTAAAAACAATAATAACATAATTATATTACCCTCAAATTATTTGGATTTAATGATTTTTTTTTCCTGAAATAAAAATTTCGGATAGATTTAAATGAGGGAAGCTAACCATTTAAGGAAAAGAGAGATATAACAAAGGGCCTAAATTTAACTTTAATACTTCTTATAAACAAATAAGGACTGTTATATTTCATAAATAATATCAGATTTAAAGGATATTCTAAAATGATCATCATGCAAAGTGATGTTTTATTTATGTAGGTAACTGTTAATAAGCATCAGTTCAAACAATATAATAATTTGGTTTCTTGAGACTATCATCACACATTGAGTACTTTCTCATTTTAACTTAAACTACTATCACTAATCACGAAGGAACAAAGATGTGTCCAAATTTTGAAGGAACATGGGTGTCCCAAACCTCAGATAATGAATTTTAGCTCTCTCTGGAGAAAAGCCTTTCCTGGATGTAGTCTGGCAATATTCCAAGATTTCTTTTTAAAAGTAACTCCATATGTGTACTGAAAATAAGCTAGTGATGTTTTAAATCAACTGGAAAGAGAGGCTGTTCTTTTCAATATTTTTTCCTGAGCAAAACTTTGAAGTGCAGCATTTGGGGATTATGAAGGTTTGGGTTACCTGCTGAATGAAGGCATGGAAAATTATTTGAAAAAGTACTCTTTTTTAAAAAAATGTGCTTTAAACTTATGAAATATCACCTGTGGTTCAGAGAAGGTATGCAACTCAAGCATTTTTTTTTTCAATGTAAAGAGAAAGAGTTAATTTTAAATTGAGATTATATTTTCCAAATTTTCTATGGCTACAAGATTATAATCAAAAGTTTGTGGTTCACTTATTTCAAAGGCAGGGGATGATGGGGATGAGTAAATGTTATTAAATTAAAGGAAATGTGAGTAAATTTATAGTGAGTTAGGTATTGTGAGCAAAACTGAACCAAAGAATACAGCTCAAAATACTCTAATGATTGTTTCACAGCAGGCATTTTAAGTTATTTCATTTCCAAATAAATTCAACTTGTGTGTATTTTCTTGTAATCTGTTTTGAATTTACTTGATGCATTCAAAGGCTTGATACGTATGTGTGTGTGTAAAATGCACACACACATACACATACACATACATATATATAGATTCCATTGGCAACATTTTAGCTAGAAAAAAAGTTGCTAGTATTGCTAAATTTGTATTATGTAACTATAAAGTAAAATATATTTGAATAAGCATACTTTTTTTGGAAAGCAAAAGAACTGTAATAATACATGTCTTATTTACATCATGAGAGATATTTTTTTACATACAATATCACAGACACACCTGCTACAGTGAGATATTGTCAACGAACATTTTAGAAGGTTTGAATG